CCCACACACACACCCGGCCAAGACCCAAGACAGAGGAGGGACAGCCTGCCCTGTGCTACGCCTCTAGACAGAGGTGGGAGCTTCCTGCCTACCCCGACCTGGCGTTCCCAGGCCTCCGCCTCCTGCCCAGGGCAGCCCAGCCCATCAGAGGCCGTCTCGGGATGGTGCTGTGTACTGAGACCCGACTTCGCCACTGCTCAGACCAGCATGGGCGGTGGGTGGCCCCAAGACAGAGGAGGGACAGCCTGCCCTGTGCTACGCCTCTAGACAGAGGTGGGAGCTTCCTGCCTACCCCGACCTGGCGTTCCCAGGCCTCCGCCTCCTGCCCAGGGCAGCCCAGCCCATCAGAGGCCGTCTCGGGATGGTGCTGTGTACTGAGACCCGACTTCGCCACTGCTCAGACCAGCATGGGCGGTGGGTGGCCTTTGAGACTGAAGTGCTGAAGCCCACTGCCCACGAGCGTGCCCGCGAGGACCACGGCTCACACCCACCCTGCTGCGCCAGGTGGACTGACGCTCCACGGCCTCGCCCCACCAGCGGCCAGAGATGTCCGGGGGCTGGGGTCCCACAGCCAGAACGGTAAGCAGAAGGCAGGCAGGGGGCACAGAGCTCCCTGGACCCCGGCTGCCACCAGGGACTGTCACTCTGCCATCCTTGGCGGGCTGGGACACCCTCTCTGGGAACTCGGCGCTAGGTGGCTTGGCAGGGGAAGGTCAGGAGGCCGCTGGGTCCTCTGCAGCATGTCCACCATAGCCTCGCGGTGGCTGGTCGTGCCTGAGTCCTCAGTCCTTGACCCCTGGGCTGGCAGGACTCTGGCCACCGAAGGAGCGCAGGGTGGAGAGCCCCCACCGAGACTCTGAGACTCTGCAGTTCCGCGTGCTGGAGGCCAGAGCCCTGCCGTCCCTCTGCCTCCCAGAGCTGCCTGCACAGCTCCTCCAGAGCTATCAGATGTGGTCACCACCCAGCTGGCTCACGTGTGCAGGGGCCGCCTGGGTACGTGCCTCGTCACGGCCCATCTCGGGCTCAGTGCTGAGGGCCACAGTGAGCAGTGCCCTCGGGAGCTGGCGGCCCTGCGCGGGTCCTGCCCCAGACTCCTCCCCCAGCTTCCCAGGAGGGCTACTGACAGCTGCCCATCCCCGCTGTCACAGACGGCCTCTCCTCTTAGGGGCCTGCCAGCCATCTGGACACTGAGCACCCACCCTCCTTCTCCCCACCCTTCCTGGGTGCTGGGACTCGGGTCAGTTCCTGAGTTTTCATTCATCAGCCCAGAGAGGACTCGAGCCCGAGCCCCCGTCAGCTCAGGACCCCTACATAGCAATGGCGGCAGCCCTCACAGCTCCATGGCTGGCTGAGCCCTGTTGGGCCTCTGAGCTACGGAGTGGACGCGGAGGTC